GGCCTGATTTGTGGAGTGCTGCAGAGATGGTTATCCTTCTGGAAGGTTCTCCCGTCTCCACAGAGGAACTCTGGAGCTCTGTCAGAGTGACCATCAGGTTCTTGGTCACCTCCCTGACCAAGGCCCTTCTCCCCCGATTGCTCAGTTTGGCCGGGCAGCCAGCTCTAGGAAGAGTCTTGGTGGTTCCAAACTTGTTCCATTTAAGAATGATGGAGGGCACTGTATACTTGGGACCTTCAATTCTGCAGACATTTTTTGGTACCCTTCCCCAGATCTGTGCCTCGACACAATCCTGTCTCGGAGCTCTACGGACAATTCCTTCGACCTCATGGCTTGGTTTTTGCTGTGACATGCACTGTCAACTGTGGGACCTTTTATAGACAGGTGTGTGTCTTTCCAAATGATGACCAATCAATTTCATTTACCACAGGTGGATTCCAATCTCAAGGATGATCAATGGAAACAGGATGCACCTGAGCTCAATTTCGAGTCTCATAGCAAAGGGTCAGAATAGTTATGTAAATAAGGTATCTGTTTTTTATTTTTAAATAAATGTACAAAATGTCTGAATATTTTCGAACGCACATACTGAACAAAAATAGAAACGCAACATGTAGTGTTGGTCCCATGTTTCATGAGCTGAAATAAATGATCCCCGAAATTTTACTAATGCAGAAAAAGCTTATTCCGCTGAAATTTTGTGCACAAATTTGTTTACATCCATCTTAGTGAGCATTTCTCCTTTGCCAAGATAATCCATCTACCTGACAGGTGCATCATATCAAGAAGCTGATTAAACAGCATGATCATTACACAGTTGCACCTTGTGCTGGGGACAATAAAAGGTCACTCTAAAATGTGCAGTTTTGTCACACAACACAATGCCACGGATGTCTCAAGTTTTGAGGGAGCGTGCAATTGGCATGCTGACTGCAGGAATGTCCACCAGAGCTGTTTCCAGAGAATTTGATGTTCATGTATCTACCATAAACCACCTCCAACGTCGTTTTAGAAAATTTGGCAGTACGTCCAACTGGTCTCACAACCGCAGACCATGTGTAACCACGCCAGCCCAGGACCTCCACATCCGGCTTCTTCACCTGCGGGATCGTCTGAGACTAGCCACCCGGACAGCTGATGAAACTGGAGGAGTATTTCCGTCTGTAATAACGCCCTTTTGTGGGGAAGAACTCGTTCTGATTGGCTGGGCCTGGCTCCCCAGTGGGTGGGCCTATGCCCCTGCCCAGTCATGTGAAATCCATAGATTAGGGCCTAATGAATTTATTTCAATTTAATGATTTCCTTATATGAACTGTAACTCTGTAAATCGTTGAAATTGTTGCATGTTGCGTTTATATTTTTATTCAGTACATATATACAGTATATAACATTCTGCAAGCAATCCAAAGTGACAAACTGACCGATGAAAAAAGACTGTATTCAAGAAGCCTGCCTGTCTTGTCTTACCATTCCCTTTCAGAGGCTTTTCTATCAGAGGCTTTTTTCTAGGCTGCTTAGCAGTGTTTGTGTCAAATATGGTTTTGTGATCAGAACTGCATCAATGGGACAAAGGCCACATTCAAATGCTCCTTTACGCAATCTGAAATGAACTGCTCCACCAATACCTTTATCAAACATAAATACCAGTTAGTCTGTCTTTTGAACAACTGAGTGCACAAAAATACATGTTCTTATTCTCTGATTATTGCTAAATATGAAAGTGTAAAAAATGTACACTATTAACCTTGTGTTATTGTTGCAAAAGCACCATTCCACAGTCAATAAATAAGCTACACAACACACTCACAACATCCAGTTGACAGATGTTAGGCCTACAGTACCTTTGCAATTCCTGGTGTAATCACACTTGACGTTTCCCTGGTCATTCCTGGTGTAATCACACTTGGGGTTTCCCTGGCCATTCCTGGTGTAATCACACTTTACGTTTCCCTGGTCATTCCTGGTGTAATCACACTTGGGGTTTCCCTGGTCATTCCTGGTGTAATCACACTTGGGGTTTCCCTGGTCATTCCTGGTATAATCACACTTGGGGTTTCCCTGGTCATTCCTGGTGTAATCACACTTGGGGTTTCCCTGGTCATTCCTGGTGTAATCACACTTGGGGTTTCCCTGGTCATTCCTGGTGTAATCACACTTGGGGTTTCCCTGGTCATTCCTGGTGTAATCACACTTGGGGTTTTCCTGGTCATTCCTGGTGTAATCACACTTGGGGTTTCCCTGGTCATCATCGCTACATGTCTCAGCCATGCATTGGAAAAATCTAACACCCTAAATAGCTCAACAGCTTACGGATCAGAGTGAGTAAGGTAAAGTCAACTGAGGATACTGGTGTACTGTTCTGGTGTACTGTTCTGGTGCACCGTTCTGGTGTACTGTTCTGGTGTACCGTTCTGGTGCACCGTTCTGGTGTACTGTTCTGGTGTACCGTTCTGGTGCACCGTTCTGGTGTACTGTTCTGGTGTACCGTTCTGGTGCACTGTTCTGGTGTACCGTTCTGGTGTACTGTTCTGGTGCACCGTTCTGGTGTACTGTTCTGGTGTACTGTTCTGGTGCACCGTTCTGGTGCACCGTTCTGGTGTACTGTTCTGGTGCACCGTTCTGGTGCACTGTTCTGGTGCACTGTTGTGTAATCTGTTGCCTGCCTCTGTGCTGGCTGTGTGCTGTGGGCTGTGTGCTGTGGGCTGTGTGCTGTGTGCTGTGTGCTGTGTGCTGTGTGCTGTGTGCTGTGGGCTGTGTGCTGTGGGCTGTGTGCTGTGGGCTGTGTGCTGTGGGCTGTGTGCTGTGGGCTGTGGGCTGTGTGCTGTGGGCATGCCTAAGGAGACTGGTGGCTAGCTCAGTAGCATCCCTCTGGGCTTTACAGCAGCTGCTCTGGTTGTGTTCCTATTCCCTATACAGTGCTCTGGTTGTGTTCCTATTCCCTATACAGTGCTCTGGTTGTGTTCCTATTCCCTATACAGTGCTCTGGTTGTGTTCCTATTCCCTATACAGTGCTCTGGTTGTGTTCCTATTCCCTATACAGTGCTCTGGTTGTGTTCCTATTCCCTATACAGTGCTCTGGTTGTGTTCCTATTCCCTATACAGTGCTCTGGTTGTGTTCCTATTCCCTATACAGTGCTCTGGTTGTGTTCCTATTCCCTATACAGTGCTCTGGTTGTGTTCCTATTCCCTATACAGTGCTCTGGTTGTGTTCCTATTCCCTATACAGTGCTCTGGTTGTGTTCCTATTCCCTATACAGTGCTCTGGTTGTGTTCCTATTCCCTATACAGTGCTCTGGTTGTGTTCCTATTCCCTATACAGTGCTCTGGTTGTGTTCCTATTCCCTATACAGTGCTCTGGTTGTGTTCCTATTCCCTATACAGTGCTCTGGTTGTGTTCCTATTCCCTATACAGTGCTCTGGTTGTGTTCCTATTCCCTATACAGTGCTCTGGTTGTGTTCCTATTCCCTATACAGTGCTCTGGTTGTGTTCCTATTCCCTATACAGTGCACTGGTTGTGTTCCTATTCCCTATACAGTGCACTGGTTGTGTTCCTATTCCCTATACAGTGCTCTGGTTGTGTTCCTATTCCCTATACAGTGCTCTGGTTGTGTTCCTATTCCCTATACAGTGCTCTGGTTGTGTTCCTATTCCCTATACAGTGCTCTGGTTGTGTTCCTATTCCCTATACAGTGCTCTGGTTGTGTTCCTATTCCCTATACAGTGCTCTGGTTGTGTTCCTATTCCCTATACAGTGCACTACTTTTGACCAGACCTCACGCTGTTAACCGGTGCCTTCCTCTGCTCCTCACCGACAGGCAGGCAGGCAGACGGTAACGTTACATAATCACACCTAGCAGAACACCGCTGAGAGAGTAGAGCCGAGGAACGCCACTCCTTCTCTCCCCCTCCCCCACTTCTCATTCTTTCCATCTCTCCCCCCTCCTTCTCCCTTTTCTAGTCTCTTTTTGCACCAGAGCATCGCAAAACAAATACATCCACTAAGCACCATGTTGATGTCGTCGTATCAGACCACTGTTACAGAGTATTGCTGCACCCAGATGGTAATGACATGGTAAAAATCCTTTAAGTTTGTTTCCCCACCATTTTGTTTCCCCACCATTTTGTTTTCCCCACCATTTTGTTTTCCCCACCATTTTGTTTCCCCACACCATTCTAAATGCTGCCATCCACCAGAGAAAGACAATAAAGGGATAGTAACGGCTCACCCTCTGAAGGAAATCTAGGTCTGCGTTCCTAATGGCAACCTATTCACTATATCGTACACTACTTTTCACCCGAGCCCTATGGGCCTTGGTCAAACGTAGTGCACTATATAGGGAATAGGGTGCCATTTGGGACACAACCTAGCAGAGGGTATAAAGGCTTCCTTGTTGAGGAGGATGGAGCGACTCCACCACCAGAAGTAACAGGAGGATTACGTCATTAAAACGCCATCATTAAATAAAGCAGGGAGACCATGGCTATGTGGAACAAAACACTGGGGGAGGGAGATCTCTGTCACACACACACCATCACCCTATTTCTATAATTGGGACTAGTTAATATTACAGAGATTAAACCATGCATAGCGGGGATTGTGTAAAAATGAGCTAACTGATCTGATGAGCTCATGGTGTGTGGAAGAGTCAGTCAAGACCACTTCCTCTCCTCCACACACACACACACACACACACACACACCCCACACACCACACCTCTCATCTATGGGACTTGGCTGTAACTGTTAACTGTACCAATCCCCCATCCAGCAGCTCATCCTGCCTGGGAGCATCCTGTCGATGGCCCTACATCACTCTGCCCATGGTTAAACACGCCACAGTCATGTGCAGTAAGTAAGCCCTGCTTAAGGAGTCAGTCATTCACTGAATGGACTGACTGAGGGCTGGAATTAGTGGAGTTAGGATTTAGCGTCAACCAGCCTGCCAATGTCAAGGCCAGCAGACAGAGCGAGATGTTATGACGACAGAGAACACCCCCACTAGGTTGTGATAACAGAACACCACCAGGTTGTGATAACAGAACACCACCAGGTTGTGATAACAGAACACCACCAGGTTGTGATAACAGAACACCACCACCAGGTTGTGATAACAGAACACCACCAGGTTGTGATAACATAACAACACTACCAGGTTGTGATAACAGAACACCACCAGGTTGTGATAACATAACAACACCACCAGGTTGTGATAACATAACAACACCACAAGGTTGTGATAACATAACAACACCACCAGGTTGTGATAACAGAACACCACCAGGTTGTGATAACAAAACACCACCAGGTTGTGATAACAGAACACCACCAGGTTGTGATAACATAAAACCACCATGTTGTGATAACAGAACACCACCAGGTTGTGATAACATAACAACACCACCAGGTTGTGATAACATAACAACACCACCAGGTTGTGATAACAGAACACCACCAGGTTGAGATAACAAAACACCACCAGGTTGTGATAATATAACACCACCAGGTTGTGATAACAGAACACCACCAGGTTGTGATAACAGAACACCACCAGGTTGTGATAACATAACAACACCAGGTTGAGATAACAAAACACCACCATGTTGTGATAACATAACACCACCATGTTGTGATAACAGAACACCACCATGTTGTGATAACAGAACACCACCATGTTGTGATGACAGAACACCACCAGGTTGTGATAACAGAACACCACCATGTTGTGATAACATAACACCATAACAGAACACCACCATGTTGTGATAACAGAACACCACCATGTTGTGATAACAGAACACCACCATGTTGTGATAACAGAACACCACCACCAGGTTGTGATAACAGAACACCACCATGTTGTGATAACATAACACCACCAGGTTGAGATAACAAAACACCACCAGGTTGTGATAACAGAACACCACCAGGTTGTGATAACATAACACCACCACCAGGTTGTGATAACATAACACCACCAGGTTGAGATAACAAAACACCACCATGTTGTGATAACATAACACCACCATGTTGTGATGACAGAACAACACCATGTTGTGATAACAGAACACCACCATGTTGTGATAACATAACACCACCAGGTTTTGATAACATAACACCACCACCAGGTTGTGATAACAAAACACCACCAGGTTGTGATAACATAACACCACCAGGTTTTGATAACATAACACCACCATGTTGTGATAACAGAACACCACCAGGTTGTGATAACAGAACACCACCAGGTTGTGATAACAGAACACCACCACCAGGTTGTGATAACAGAACACCACCACCAGGTTGTGATAACAGAACACCACCAGGTTGTGATAACAGAACACCACCACCAGGTTGTGATAACATAACACCACCATGTTGTGATAACATAACAACACCATGTTGTGATAACAGAACACCACCATGTTGTGATGACAGAACAACACCATGTTGTGATAACAGAACACCACCATGTTGTGATAACATAACACCACCAGGTTGTGATGACAGAACACCACCATGTTGTGATGACAGAACACCACCATGTTGTGATAACAGAACACCACCATGTTGTGATAACATAACACCATAACAGAACACCACCATGTTGTGATAACATAACACCACCAGGTTGTGATAACAGAACACCACCATGTTGTGATAACAGAACCACCAGGTTGTGATACAGAACACACCAGTTGTGATAACAGAACACCACCATGTTGTGATAACAGAACACCACCATGTTGTGATAACAGAACACCACCATGTTGTGATAACAGAACACCACCATGTTGTGATAACAGAACACCACCAGGTTGTGATAACAGAACACCACCAGGTTGTGATAACAGAACACCACCAGGTTGTGATAACAGAACACCACCAGGTTGTGATAACAGAACACCACCAGGTTGTGATAACAGAACACCACCAGGTTGTGATAACAGAACACCACCAGGTTGTGATAACAGAACACCACCACCAGGTTGTGATAACAGAACACCACCACCAGGTTGTGATAACAGAACACCACCAGGTTGTGATAACATAACAACACCACCATGTTGTGATAACAGAACACCACCATGTTGTGATAACAGAACACCACCAGGTTGTGATAACAGAACACCACCAGGTTGTGATAACAGAACACCACCAGGTTGTGATAACAGAACACCACCACCAGGTTGTGATAACATAACACCACCATGTTGTGATAACATAACAACACCATGTTGTGATAACAGAACACCACCATGTTGTGATGACAGAACAACACCATGTTGTGATAACAGAACACCACCAGGTTGTGATAACAGAACACCACCAGGTTGTGATAACAGAACACCACCACCATGTTGTGATAACAGAACACCACCATGTTGTGATAACAGAACACCACCAGGTTGTGATAACAGAACACCACCAGGTTGTGATAACAGAACACCACCAGGTTGTGATAACAGAACACCACCACCAGGTTGTGATAACATAACACCACCATGTTGTGATAACATAACAACACCATGTTGTGATAACAGAACACCACCATGTTGTGATGACAGAACAACACCATGTTGTGATAACAGAACACCACCATGTTGTGATAACATAACACCATAACAGAACACCACCATGTTGTGATAACATAACACCACCAGGTTGTGATAACAGAACACCACCATGTTGTGATAACAGAACACCACCACCAGGTTGTGATAACAGAACACCACCATGTTGTGATAACAGAACACCACCAGGTTGTGATAACAGAACACCACCATGTTGTGATAACAGAACACCACCATGTTGTGATAACAGAACACCACCATGTTGTGATAACAGAACATCACCAGGTTGTGATAACAGAACACCACCAGGTTGTGATAACAGAACACCACCATGTTGTGATAACAGAACACCACCAGGTTGTGATAACAGAACACCACCAGGTTGTGATAACAGAACACCACCAGGTTGTGATAACAGAACACCACCAGGTTGTGATAACAGAACACCACCAGGTTGTGATAACAGAACACCACCACCAGGTTGTGATAACATAACAACACCACCAGGTTGTGATAACAGAACACCACCATGTTGTGATAACAGAACACCACCATGTTGTGATAACAGAACACCACCACCAGGTTGTGATAACATAACAACACCACCAGGTTGTGATAACAGAACACCACCACCAGGTTGTGATAACAGAACACCACCAGGTTGTGATAACATAACACCACCAGGTTGTGATAACAGAACACCACCAGGTTGTGATAACAGAACACCACCACCAGGTTGTGATAACAGAACACCACCAGGTTGTGATAACATAACAACACCACCAGGTTGTGATAACATAACAACACCACCAGGTTGTGATAACAGAACACCACCACCATGTTGTGATAACAGAACAACACCAGGTTGTGATAACAGAACACCACCAGGTTGTGATAACAGAACACCACCAGGTTGTGATGAACAACATATGCCTGCTATTATGCCTTATTACACATATAAACACACAGTCCTCTAAGATGTTGTTACACACCATCCACAACATACCACCCTGCTCTTCTCTTTTAAAAAAAATATTTAAAAGAATGGGGGAAAAGGAGCCCATCAATCCCACCTCCACCTGGACAGCATATTACCGGTGTGTTTCAATACCTTTTTTAAATATCTCCACAGTTTCGGCCCCTTTCAGGTTATCTGGCAGTTTTTCTGGTTGTTTTGAGAGCGTAGAGGAGCAGAGGCTATTTAGAAACCAATAGAATCATCTTAAAATGAATTCTAAAACTCACAGGCAGCCAGTCCAGAGACCTTAAAGCCGGTGTAATGTGTGCACTCCGCCTGGTCTTGGTCAGTACCCATGCTGCAGCATTCTGTATGTTTTGCAGTAGACCAGACAGGAGAAGAGGTGAAGAAAGAGATGATCAATGACAACCAGAGATACAGGAGGAGGAAACGGAGAAACTCAACCTGCACTGTAGGTGTACATACTGTAATCCTGTTGCAATAACACATAGCCATAAATCAAAAACACACACACACACACACTCAAATAACCCCCTCAACACACACAAAATCAAAGGCCCCCCCTCAACACACACGCACAGTCTATGAAAGAGAAGCACAAAGACACTCACACACATCACAATACCTTTGCAAATGGCAGAAAACTGTTCTGTTCTGTAGTCTCCGTGTGTCTTCTCTTCTCAGAGTCAGATAACACGCAGCTTACTGAGGAACACCTGACATTACCCTCTCAGTAAGTCAGCCAGACGCTCTCCTCCTCAGCCAATAACTGTCTGACATTCTTTCCTGCCCCCCCCTCCTCAACTCCTGAAATGCCACAGCGGAGTGGAACGTAGAGAGAGCGTCTGGCCAACGTCTGTCTGTCTGAGAACTCACTCACTCAAACCTCCACTGAGATAGAGAGTCTGAGCTTTCGGTTCTCACTTGTGACCGCCTCTCCTTCTGCTGGAGTAGCAGCTAGAAGTCACACTTCCCTCTTTCTCTCTTTCTGCCTTCGCTTTTCTACCCTCTCTCCCTGGCTGTTCTTTTTAATCCCTGCTCTAAAATCAGGGAAAGCCCTGGCTGTTCTTTTTAATCCCTGCTCTAAAATCAGGGAAAGCCCTGGCTGCCACTGTGACGACTTCACCTATCAGAGCAACAACATTCGCTCTCTCTTTAAAAAACAAAGCAGGATGCAGGGGCTAAAGAAGCTCTGGTGCCTAATTCCTATTCATGTGTGGGGAGGGAGACACACACACAGACAACAACACTGTCAACAGCAGATTAGCCGCTAACCCACTTGTACAGCAACCTCCCACGCCCCCACAGCAGCTATAAATACACATTGATCTGTCCTGTGCATTGATACTACCTGCTGCTGCAGGACAACAAACTCTCGCTTCACTAGCAGAGGAGGACAATAATAGTTCATACATACACAGGGACTAATGAGAGTTGCTAACGCACAGGGACTAATGAGAGTTGCTAACGCACAGGGACAGAAGAAGAAGAAGAAGAAGAAGAAAGAAGAAGAAGTAAGAAGAAGACGAACTAAGAAAGAAGACGCATAAACGATAATACTAACTACGAATACTAATGAATAAGATAAGCAAGACGAATACCTCCTCTTCACTGATACCTCCTCCCTAACTAATCCATCCTAACAGCCTCCGCCGCCTCCTCATCCTCCTCCTCACTCCTCCGCCTCCTTCTCTTACCTTCTTCTTCTTCTTTCTTCTTCTTCTTCTCTCCCCTGGCTTGCTGGCGATAAGGAAGTGAATTCAGTAGGGGAGAGTTACAGGCAGCTTAGAAATCCCCAGACAGTCAAAGACTGTCTATCCAGAGCAAGGCGACCAGTAGTGAGCTCAAAAACCACCTTTCCTCACCATTTCTTCCCATGGCAGCAGCGGCTAAAGGAAGAGATGGCCCTCATGTTACGCAAGAGGATGATGTCGCTGCCAGCAGGCAGTCAAACCCCTTCTTGCTCCCTCTACTCCACCCTCCTTCCCCCTTCCCCCCTCTCTCTCTCTCTCTCTCTCTCTCTCTCTCTCCACACTCTGGTCAACAAACCTAAGGGTTGCGTCGCAAATAGCGCCCTATTCCGTATATAGCGTACTACTTTTGTCCAGGGCCCATAGCGAAATAGGGAGTAATTTGGGATGCAACCGATAGCTTGTCTTCACGCAGCAGAAGCCTGATGGAGGCTTGACCTGTCAGGAGGAGTGGAGCGTGAGTTTCCCATGGTAAACCTCCTCCTTCAGTCCAGACAATACATAAACCCCTCACACCTGACTGCCACCTGTCAGTACGGGCTGTGCTGCCTGCAGTCATTGGAGAACAGCGGTTGAGAAGTGAGAGGTAAGGAACCCTCTGACCCTTCAGGAGTGTGTGTGTGTGTGTGTGTGTGTTGGGGGGGGGGGGGGGGGGGGGGGGGGGTACTGTGTGTGTGTGTGTGTTTCTAATATTGACCTGACTGATCCTGCTAACCATACACGTTGCTGATGAATCACACACCTGCAGTGGGGGCTTTCAACTTGTTGACATCGACCCACCCGCTGGAATCCATTAGGATCAGACAACCAAGGACGGAGCCATCAGGATCAGACAACCAAGGACGGAGCCATCAGGATCAGACAACCAAGGACGGAGCCATCAGGATCAGACAACCAAGGACGGAGCCATCAGGATCAGACAACCAAGGACGGGGCCATCAGGATCAGACAACCAAGGACAGAGCCATCAGGATCAGACAACCAAGGACGGGGCCCATCAGGATCAGACAACCAAGGACGGGGCCATCAGGATCAGACAACCAAGGACGGGCCATCAGGATCAGACTAACCAAGGACATGGCCATCAGGATCAGACTAACCAAGGACGGGGCCCATCAGGATCAGACTAACCAAGGACGGGCCATCAGGATCAGACTAACCAAGGACGGGCCATCAGGATCAGACAACCAAGGACGGGGCCCATCATGATCAGACTAACCAAGGACGGGGCCATCAGGATCAGACTAACCAAGGATGGGCCATCA